GTCCCATAGACTCCCCATTCATACCAATGCGGATTCCTGCGAATCCCGTGCCAAGTCTCAGGACCAACAACACACTGGCGATTCCACGGTTCCAGGAATCGCTGAAGAATTTGCATCGTGATTCTTGAGAATTTGCTCAACGCTACATCGTTGATGCAACCAGGTGAGAATTACAGAGACCAGGATCTGTCTCATGCGTTCAAGAGTGCTCTGGGTCACCACAGTGACAAAAGCAATAGTGTACCATGAAAGGTACTGTAATGAAGAAAATATCAATAAGAGTAAAAACAATCTCGTTACAGCAGAAATCTAAAAGAGTGCACAACCATAATTAACATTAAGACCCGCGGGTGAGATTCACATTTCCAGTAGCAAAGGTTTTCTTCGACAAATTACTTTAAAAATACCAATTAAATTTAAGTTACAGAAATACATATGTGTGTGTGTGTCTGTGTGAATATATGGCCGTCAATTAGTAACACCTGGGTCTGTCTTGTGACCTCCTGCCAGCAGCGATCCATCCGCACTTCACGTGATATCGTCAAGGTGCACCTATCCTGGCACAAGCGCCATGGTGGCATCAACGAATCGCGGCTGCCTTTGCCTTTTGTTAATACGTACACGTGCACAGTGTATGACGGAATGCGCTCTGAAGCCGGCGAACTGAGTTCTATTCCCAGGCCGGGCTACCGTCAATGGCGAGTGTGCCCTGAAGCGGTGCGTGGGTGCGCGTATGTGCCCGCGGCAGAAGAAAGTGCTGCTCGAGTACCAGGCGGAGACTCCGCAAGCGGCCGTGCACACGTGGCAGTGCGCGACTCACAGCCAGCGCTTCTACAGGTGAGACTGACACAGTTGAGGCTCACACAGGTGAGACTGACACAGGTGAGGCTCACACGGGTGACAGTCACGCTGGTGAGACTCACGCGTCTGAGGCTCACGCAGGTGACGCTCACGCAGGTAAGACTCACAGGTGAGACTCACAGAGATTTCACACAGGTGATATTCACACAGCTGAAGCTCACGCAGGTGAGACACACAGAGATGTCACGCAGGTGAGATTCATACAGGTGAAGCTCATACAGGTGAAGCTCAAACAGGTGAGGATCACACAGATGTCACACAGGTGAGACTCACACAGGTGAGACTCACATAGGTGAAGCTCATATAGGTGAAGCTCACACAGGTGAGGCTCACACAGATGTCACACAGGTGAGACTCACACAGGTGAGACACATACGTGAAGCTCACACAGGGGAGATTCATACAGGTGAAGCTCACACAGGTGAGGCCCACACAGGTGAGACACATAGGTGAGGCTCACATAGATGAGATTCATACAGGTGAAGCTCATACAGGTGAGGCTCACACAGATGTCACACAGGTGAGACTCACACAGGTGAGACTCGCATAGGTTAAGCTCACACAGGGGAGATTCATACAGGTGAAGCTCACACAGGTGAGACTCACACAGGTGAGACTGACACAGGTGAGGCTCACATAGATGAAGCTCACACAGGTGTGGCTCACTATAAAAACCCCACTCGCTAATTGATTGACGTGTGCCCGTGCCGCACAGGTACGAGGCCGCGAGGGAGATGGCGTCGGGACGTCGACTCCTCTTCTTCTGGAAGAGCCGAGGACGCCACAGGTGAGTCCGGTACTGCTCCACGTCTCCGTGTTTCGACTTTCCTCCTCAACAAGGAGACCTGAGCCAGTGATGACAATTCCATATTTTTATGGCGAGCTCCAAGATGATACATATAGCAGAGATACAGCATTGAAGTCAAATATCACATTGTCTCCCTGCTCGCAGAAGCATGGCAATGGTACATCACTTGGTGCTGTTGTTGGAAATGCCACGTTACTATGCCAGGGACCAGTCGTTCAGATACAACCATCAAGTTTATTTAGTTTCACCGAGTAAAAATTCATGAGTTCAGGATGAGTCTCATTTGCAAAAGCGATCTGCGTCACCAAAACTGACAAATGCGAAACAGAAAAAGTTACAGCGATGAGGGTGAATATAAATCGGCGCAAAAACAACACCGCTTCGTCACGTGGGTGATCGATAAACTTTCACAAACAAAAAACAACGTTAACCAATACATTACCAGCAGCGTAAGTCGTCTGGGCGAGATTAGTTTGAGCACAACTACAGAGTCAAGTTATGGAAACGTGAAACGGATGTAGGATGACCATCGCCCTGCAGTGCAAGCGGACGGTCGCCGTTGCCGCTGCAGGGCCGGCATGGACGGCAGTCAGAGCTACCAGGCCTTCCCACGCCCGCCGCGCCCCGAGGCACCGCCTCCGGTGCCCAACAGCGTCTCCCTGCAGAGCGCCCTGCACCTGGGCGCCCTGCGCCTGCGGTCTGTGGCGTCCGCCGACGGCCTCGACCCCAGGGATGGCCTCGACCCCACCGACGCCGGTGACACCGACGATACCGACGACACCGACGAAACCGTCGCGTTTTGCACCGACGCTACCGACACCGGGGCCGGCACTGCCGACGCAGCCGAGACCGCCGGCACGACCGGTACAGCCGCCGCCGCCGATGTGAGCGGTCAAGCTGGTGCCACCCATACGGCCGGTGGCACCGACACGGCGGGTGCCACGTCCGGCACAGCCGTCTGCGGCACCGACTCCGCCGACGCCGCTGGCACGGCTGAGCGTGGTGACGCCGACGCGAGCGTCATCGGCGTGGCCAGCTCCACCGACACCGACGTCCTGATCAGGTGTCCACCACTCTTATTTACCGTTCTTGTCGTTGTTGTTGTCGACCTCTTATTTTACACCCTCCCGTGTCACGTAAACATATTTGTCTGCTGTCCACCCTTTGTCCGGTATTATTCCATTCAGCATCCACCCGTGTCATGCGTCCACCCACGTTTAGCGTCCGCCCTGGTATTTTGTTCACCCTTCTTTCTTAGCAAGCTGCCCATCCTAGTTCAGCACCCACTCGGGTTCTATCTCCACCCGGGATTAGCGTCCACCGGTGTTGGTCGTCCACCGGTGTTGGTCATCCACCGGTGTTGGTCGTCCACCCAGCACGCGGGCGGTCGGGGGGGGGGGGGTGACCCGGTGCGTGTCACGCGCTGACAGCCCCGCCACCTGCTGTGACCCCGCGCGACCTCTGGGGGAGGGGGGTCGCCTCTCTGCTGCTGCTCAACAAGGGCAGCTCGGCGAGTCAACCTCGTGGCTTTAGTTACTCGTGGCGCCGCCGCCGCCACACTGCGCCGCCGACTCGGAGTTCCAGTCGCTAATCCGCGAGCGACGTTTGACGTTTTGTTTCGTCGTTGTGGTTGCCGATGTTGGCTGAAAGATGGTTTTCAACGGTTTTATTTTAACATTCAAAAAGCATTCTGCCGATATCCATTGCCAAGTGTTTGCCAATTTGGCAGTTTCTCACGGCGAAAATTGTCAGAAAACATGTTTACACCGTGGTGCCGTTAGTGGTTGAGGTGTTGGTAGCGGTCGAGAGGCTGGTGGTGGTCGAGAGAGCGGTGGTAAAAAGTTGTCTTCAACACATTTCCTGAGCGTGACCCTTGAACCAATAACACGGAGACGCGGGCAAAGTGGGGCAGCGCCACACCACGGTGACGTGACGATAACATCCTTGAAGAGAGGCCAGGAACCTGAGATTTATAACCGAGATTTAGAGCTGCGATTTATAACACAGATGAAAGGGGGGGGGGGAGAGTTTAAAAGTGCGGCTCTGTATCACTCAGCGACGCAGCTAATTCTTGTCGCTGGGACACCGCCAACCGTGCTACGCCACTGCGAGCGTGGATGAGTTACACTCATCGTCGATCAGCCATGATCAGTGCACCGCTAGTTGAGCATTAATAACCTGAAGAACCATCAGGTGGGGAGGTGTCCAGTCCAGTGCAACACGGTGACTCCCTGCGGAGGTCCCCGTTGGGGGAAAGAAACCCAGAGGGGGTGGAGGGCCTGTGGGGATCGGGGCACCGTACGCGCCCCATGGGCCATTGGGACAGTGCGCCCTCGTACCGCTGCTATTTGCATGCGGCGCGCTATTTATGGCCGGGCCGTGATGCCTGGCAGATTCCGCGCCGCCGTCGGCCAACCAACCCCTTCCAGCGGCGGCATTTGTCTCCCAAGCCCGACCCTGCTGATGGGACACCGAGGGTCGAAACCCGTGCCGTGTAATGCTCCCTTAAGCACACGCGGCGTGGTCGGATTGGTCTGGAAAGTCCGCAGACCGACGGACTCAAGCCAGTGTTGTTGTACTTATAGTCATGGTGGGATGGGGGGGACATTCTCTGCTGGTATTCGCTCTTGGAGCAAAAAGTCGACTTCGTTCTGTTTCACCAGGTGAGAACTCGAGGCAGCCAAGGATGAGTCTCGTTTGTAAGAGTGACCCGGGTATTAGTCTGCCAGTAGGAGGGGGGTGGGCTGCAATAATTGGGCATTTTGGCCTACTCTTCCACACTGGTCAGACGTCTTAGAAGAATACCCACAGTTTACCCCACCACCACCACACGCGATCCACCTCCCGATCGACTTTGCCTGTGGTGTAGCCATTTTTACTGCCGGGTGGACAGAGAATGGAGCGGTGTGGGAGGGGGGGGGGGGGGATTTAATTATTTTATTAAAATGCCAATTATTTTAACTGCCGCGGCGAGAGATCGGATCGAATCAGCAACCGACCTCTCTCTCGCCTGGACAGACGTTCTTCTAAAGTCGCCGAGAGTGGCGCTGGACAATTGGGCCACGTGTTTATGAATCGTGAGTCAACTCGCGTGAGAGCTCCCCCGATGGATGTCAGGCACGGGCGCGAAATCTGCAGAGACTCGCCAGGTTTGCCACTCACTTCGTCCAAAATGCGTCGCCAGACCCAGAGATGAAACTCGCTCACTTGCCAACACCGGCACGGCGGTGTTTGGTGGTGGTGATGGTGGTGGTGCTGCTGCTGGTGGTGGTAAAACGAGGAGGAGGTGGGGGGTGTTGGAGAAAGGGGAGCTGGTGACGGTGAGGGGGTAGGGCGCGTGGTGGGGGGGGGGGCTGCGTGGGAGAGGGGAGTGGAGGCGTGCGCAGTTGTTCTCTCGCTCGGACAATTCGTCAACTCTCAACCGGGGTTCCTGCCAGTGAGGGGATACGAGCGACGGGGATACGAGTCAAGGTGACACGAGGAAAGGGGATATGAGTCGAGGGAATACGAGGCAATAGGACACGAGGCGAGGGGACACGCAGTGACGTGTGTACCCCCTGACTTCCACACCCCCGTCTCTCCTCGGAGCCCCCGATCGGCTCCCGTTTGGCACCAGGATCTCGGGGCTCCAATGCTGCTCCCCGGACCCGGCTCATCGTCACCATCAGCTCGGCTTCTGTCGTAAAACAACAGCAGCAGCAGCAACAACAACAGCAGCAGCAGCAGCTGTTGTGATTACACCGAACCGGACGGACAGGGAAGGGCATCGGGAGGCCGCGACCATGGTGAAGTGCCTGGTGAAAATCCGGACCAAGGTCAATGTCCATCTGCGCATGGTCAACCACTGTTACCGGGACGTCCGGGTTCGAGTCCTGAGCCTGGGACCCCGCATCCTGCGCCGTGCCATAGGTGGCATGCCCTTCCTGCCGGCGCTGATGTACGGTCCCCCCAGTGACAATCCGGGCGCAGCCCTCAATCCGAACAGCCCCGTAGCCGGCACCGGCAGCGGCGCCTCCAGATTCCGGGAGACTCCAAGGGTTCACGAGGTTCCCGTCGAATTTGACGACGACGACGACGACGACGCCGACGACTGCGGCGGCTACGGTGGCTACGGTGGCGTGGATCGCGCTGGTGTTGGGGAAGACGAGGACGTGGTGTTGTTTGCGAGGAGAGGGGATCCCACGGCGCGTGATGAAGCTGGGTTGACCGGGAGGGGTGTCGCAGGCGAGGGAGTTCTGCGCGCATCTGTGCGCAGGTGTTCAGGTGAGGGCGTTTGGCGACTAACACGGCTAACGCTCTCTCTGTGTGTATGCGTGTTTGAGAATTTCTGCGTCGGCCAGTCATCTCAGTCAGTCGACCCATGGAACCTGGGTCTGCCCCGTGACCTCCTGCCGTCGAGCGTTCGACACTTCACGTGGCCTCAACGTGCACATAGCCTGGCACAAGCGCCGTGGTGACGTCACAGCCACTTAGTGGTGAATGGCGGTTGTTGTTGTTGAGGAATTTTTCTACCGCGATCCGGGATTAGGCCGCTCCGCTCATCATGTGGGAGTGGCGAGTTCAAGTATCGGTCGGAAGGTCACATCGATATCAGGTTCATGACGTGAGCTGTCATGAACGTCTACATGTTAATGTCTTGTTCAATCAACTAAATTTTTTCATCATCCAGGTTCAATGATCATCGCCTCTCCAGGGATATCATCTCTGCGGAATCGTTATCATCACCATCATTATTATCATTATAATCTGCTTTCCGTCATTAACTCTCCAAGGTCATCATCGTCATCATGTCTCCAGGGTCGATATAATCATAGACTGGTCTACGCCATACGAATGTGGAATTTCCACCACTGTCTTAGGTCCCCCAATAGGCATGGGCACAGTCACACGCTTTGTTGAGCACGGAGACACCTTAACATAACTTTGAAGGGACGGTCCAAGCGTGGTTGTACAGTACTATTTAAAGACTGACCCCTCGCCAATAGGAATGTGGAATTTCCACCACTGGCTCAGGACCACCGACGGGATTGATTGCCGTCCAGCGCATTTACAAGCGCCGAGGCACTTTGACACCGACCTGAAATAGACCCCGGGCACAACGTCGCACTTCACGCTGCAGCGCGTGGGCGCATTGTCTCAGGCGCGCGAGAGTGTCACGCCACACCGACTCGCGACTCTCCACCACGTCCACCCTCACGAGGCGTCGACCCTCACGCGCGTGACACTGTTCGCGTCACACTACATCCCCGCACGCCCGGACAACCTAATCCCCCAATTAAGGGGGCGCGTGCGCTGGGCCTGGCTCGCTCATCCGTTGGCGAAGGCACTAAAATAGAGCCGCGCACGCACGCGCACATGCTCGCGTGCATTCATACGTAACAAAGACAAAGATCTCCCGTGTAGCCTACACAGGCTGTTGGGCAAAGTGCCCTTAGTGAGAACGCATATGATGGTCGGAACGGCACACGAGTGGGTGGGTGGCCAGCCCCACCCGCGTGCAATTTCACACGCTACCACGTGCGTAGCCGTACGTATGTATGCTGAACTTTTTTCCCACCGTACGTAGCCGACCGCGCTAATCGGAGGTGCGTCCATAGAGACACACGCACACGCGAATAAACACACACACGCCCACACTCGTTACTTGAAGTCGGGTGCACTTAAGTAATTAAAGCCCGTGAACGGATTTAAGTCGTGGGGAAATTAATTTTCCACTGCCCTAATCCCCGACTTAATGCGTTATGGCAACGGAAATCTTTGAGCTGTGGTCCACGGAGCTGAGATGTGTGGGAGTCCGTAGAGATGAGCATTGTGCGGGGGGGAGGGGCGGAATTTGCCTTAGGGTTAAAGGGGGGCAGCGTATCACCCCATAATAAGAATGATGTCATGACATTTTTTTGGGTGAGATCACGTGAGTGAAATGTGTGTCGTGCAACCTCCTCCACCCGACACAGCCACTTAGTAAAGTCGTCACGTGATGAACAAATATGGCAGAAACGTGTCGCTGCTCCCACAGCACCACCGGTGTGATGTAGGAGAGCAAGATCACAACTGTTAGTAATCGGGTACGACGTTTCGCTGATAGCTACAACAGCATAATCAGGTATTTCCCAAAATGTTATTTTCGCGATCTGACCCAACACAGTCAATTATGACGCCACAACGCAGGTCGCGAAATCCCCCGACACGTGGTTTTAAAGAACGATGTCCTTTACTTATCCGTGAACGGCTCACAGACTTGTTTCTGTCGGGTCCGTGCCATGCCATGGAGTTTGGAAACATTCCTCGTGCTTTTTCTGCATTGTGGGAGCAAGTCAGCAATACCGCCGGAGAAACCCCGACGCGTGTGCGGAGATTACGCGACGCAAATCATCACGAGCGTGGGAATGAGCGGTATCTGAGGAAGCCGAGAAGAAGACGAGAAGACCGGGGGGGGGGTCCCAATGCGCAAGTATCCATGGGGGCCCGTGGATACTGTTATCTGATGGGGCACAGCACGTGGCGTGCCCACGCCCCGTGCCAGACTGGTCGGCGACCAAACCTCTCTGCTGCACTGCCACTTGGCCCAGCGGTGAAATGAAGCCGAGCGCCCTTCAGCCGCTAGCGGCCACGTGGTGCGGTGGTTATCGCCGCCAGAAAAAGACCCCGGGGTCCTCAGAGGAGAAACGGGACTCCGCGTGCACGATCGAGGTGACGACAGCGTGACGATGCCGAACGTGGTGGTGGTGGTGGTGATGATCTGTTGTGGTGATGATGCTGATGCGATAACTACCACGCCACCGCTACCCACTAGCCTATATCTGTATTGTATGTTGAACTTCTTTCGCACCGTACGTAGCCAACCGTGACAATCGGTGGCGATATGTTAACTACCTCGCTTGGTATACAGGAGGTCGTCGGATCGATCCCGACCCTGATGCCTGCTGTATATTTGGAGTTTGCATGTTTATCTCCCCGTGGTCGCGTGAATTTTTCTCCGGGTCCTCCGGTTTTTCCCTCCACATTTAGAATCAACATCACGCGTTTAGAGTATTTGGCTGCTATACATTCCCACCCGATGAGCCACTTCGTTGAGCTATTATTTGTGACCAGGTCGCTTCTAAAAAAAAGGGCTACATAGCTCAGTGGGTCTTACCTGGTTAACATACACAATAATGTGTTTTAGTTGTATACACGCGCAGGCATAGAGTACACACATGCACACGCGACCTGTACATGCAACTAGGTGGAATCTAATTGTCACGTCCTTTACATGGGGATGCCAACAAATAATCACGCAGCATGTCACGGCATGTCACAACGTGTCACAACGTGTCACATGTCTCAGCAGTCAACCGACAGAAGGACACTGCCGACATCAGTGCAGCAAGGTGGCCGGGTGGCTGACCAGTCAGAGCGCCGAGCCGCCAGCGCTGAGATCCTGGGCGACACTCCGGGGAGGTTGAGGCCGCCTGGAATGAACCCGGTCTCTCAGGTGCAGCGAGTCGATGGTCTCGGCGCCGTGCCGCCAGCGACTGCACGAAACTCCTCTTAACATTCAAATCATTTGACAACATTCACAACCTAAGCATCTGAGAACGAAAACGATCAGTCTCACTGCAGCGGACAGAGATCACTTCAAGGCACTGCAGAGGTAGAATCTGTGATTTGCGCGTGCGTCTAATTGGAATCACTTTGGATTTTTTTTTAAAATATCGTTAATGAATATAACGATGGTGTCAATTAACAGAGAGGAGCCCTCGCGGGAGTGAGGACGGTGAGGCGGTGGTGGTGGCTGGGCCATCGCGACACACGGCCGGGCCACCTCGCATGTCCGGCTCAAACGCGAGAGCCGACGGCGGCGAGGACCTACTCCGACCCCTGCCGCCCTTCCCCACAAAGACCCCTGGACGCGCCCCCGGTCTGCACGGCGAGCCCAGCAGCAGCAGCGGCGGCGGCGGCGGCGGCACCAAGCGCAGCTCGTTAGCCCACCACTCGCGGGACGCGGCGCCTCTCATCACGAACGGTGGCTCCGACGGTGGGGCGCTCATCGTCGCCTCCATCGCCCCGTGCGCGCCACGTCTTGGGGGTGGCGATGCAACCGAGGGTGGAGTCGAGGGTGGAGGGCAACGCGAATTGGAAGGCGCAGCGGAGGACGAGTGCGCGCGTCGCCGCGATGTGGATGAGCGGGGACGAGCGCGGGTGTCGTGGGCGCGAGCCGCGCGCTCCGCGCTGGGGATGCTCGCCGCCGCGTCTCTGCTCGCCGCCGCCAACCTCCTGCTCCTCGTGCTCCTGCTGGAGTCTCCCGCCGAGCTGGAGTCGCTCCGCTGGATGCGGGAGTCGCCCTTCTTCCTGCACTTCCACTACGGCTACTACTGCCCCGCGCGCCGCTGGCTCGCCTGCTCGCTCATGAGGGCGATGGGGGACACGTGACGGCTCCGTGACTCCGCGCTCGCCCGCCCGCTCGCTCGCTCGCTCCTCTCTCTCGCACACACGCACACAGACGCACACACGCACACATGCACAGACGCACACGCACACACGCACACACGCACACGCACACACGCACACAGACGCACACGCACACAGACGCACACACGCACACATGCACAGACGCACACGCACACACGCACAGACGCACACGCACACAGACGCACACGCACACAGACGCACACACGCACACATGCACAGACGCACACGCACACACGCACAGACGCACACGCACACACGCACACAGACGCACACGCACACACGCACAGACGCCCCTGGCGGGGTGTGCGCGGGAGATGGGTGCGTGGAGTGGGGAGGCGGGCGAGTTTTCGGGGGACAGTGCACTGGGCACACCTGGGGAGGTGACTCGCCTGATGAGTCCCTGGGTGGCCGCATCGCTTGGTTTCCCGGACACGGACTAAAAGGCCACGGCGGAGAAGGAGAGCGGGGGAGAAGGCGAGGGGCGAGGGATTGTGTGGAGTGCAGTTGTCGCGGGTGTGGTGGGTAAGTCGGGGGAGAGGTGAGCGAGTGAGTGAGTGGGGACGTGGAGGTGAGCGGAAGGATCGTTGGGGCGTTGATGGATTGTGGGGAGGGTGGCGGTGCCGCGTGGGAGCGCGGGGACTGCCGCAGCCGTGCAGGGAAGAGGGGGAATCGGGGCACGCGCCCGTGCTGCGCGTGAACGCGCGTGCGTGCGCGGGCATCACGTGGTAAAGCGTGGTTTATTCAGTATAAACATGTGTCCATCGAGGTGGTACTCAACTCGCAACAAGGAGGACGTCACGGATTCACATCTCAATCGATCGACTCGACTAAGCGCATCAGTTCCTGTTGAGTCGATAACAAAAACACGAGTACCGCTTTGTGGGAAGTCAACAGCCGTTGTTGTATGGACAGACTGCCCTCTGCCATAGCAACGTGGAAGTTTCACCGTGGAACCGGGGCCCTCAGTAGTGATGAGTTCCGCATCAACGCTCGTTCGAGCAGGGAGACGGTTTGATTGGTGATACGTTGTAAATGGTATACTGCAGAGCCGGTCCCAGATACACGAATCCGTAATAATGATCCATCGCACGTCTTCCATGCTTACCGGTCAGAATTGAGTACCGAGCCACCCTCTGACTGCGATTGTGCATTGTGGAAACCCCGTGGTGGATTACTATCGTGCATATTCTGGATTCTAAAGAAATCCATGTGAGTGTTTTTTTTCGTGTTTTTCCTCCACGCAATAGGTATTCCAACACCTGCAATCCGTGCGCCGTTTTCTCCACCCTCAGCATGTCCGTGTTTTCCAGTCTTCACTTTCATCGTCCACTCAACTCTCTTACAGTGGAGCAGTGGCGCAGCGATGAGCACACTGCACTACGAAGCCGGCCAGTCCGAGTTCAATTCTCAGCCACGGATAACATCGTGGCTGTGTGAATCACGAACCGCTCCCGTGACCGGTCGCTCGCGCGCGCTACGCGACCGCTCGGTGAGGCGTCCCCGTGTGTCGCTGGCGAGTCACGGGTTGCGCCATGATGTCGAGAGCGAGCGACCTGGTTGCGCAACCGATCGCTCAGATGAGGAGCTTCCCTAAGTCATCGCCCAACACCACTCACCGGTTGGTAAACATGGAGCGTCTGAGCCATGGGGGTGTAGAGGAGGAGGAGGAGACGATGATAGATTTTATTGGAGCCTTGCGCACACAGGTGTACGTGCCAGCCCTACAGGTGCGCTTCGGCTATCACGTGTAGTGTTAGTCTGACGGAGTTTCCCAATGTGTCGTCGAGACGTAGCTGCATGTGCTCTGTAGACGCCTCGTCAATGGTCCTCGTCGTGCTGCCAGTGTAACGGTGATGGTTCGTTCAGTGCAATGGCTTCATTCTTATACGGATTCATACATTTAAATTGTTCTCGGAGTGAATGAATATAGGGAGCCAACGCAGCTTCATTGAGAGGTCATGACGGCCAATGCGTTTTAATGTCACATCCTCGCCATCGCTGCCTTCCTTCTGCCAGATCCTAAAAAAAATGTTATACAGTCGACATGTAACCTTCAAGGAGGAGTCCTTGTTACACTCTCATCAGCAACATCTGGCTGTAGGTTCCCCCCTCGTTAAACAGTCAGCCCCTCAGATTTCGATTTAAAGCTTTCGTGACTGCAAGGATTCATCTTCTTTGGTTCTTTCGGTAAAGTCACGTAGAATGAGAATAAAATAATAAAATAAAACAATAAAATTCTCACGACGTTTCGGCCACAACACAAGTAGCCGTCCTCAGGTGAAGAAACAGAACTGTTCAGCGCTGTCTTCTGGACAGTCCTGTTTCTTCACCTGAGGACGGCTACTTGTGTTGTGGCCGAAACGTCGTGATAATTTTATTGTTTTATTTTATTATTTTATTCTCATTCTACGTGACTTTACCGAAAGAACCAAATAAGTCAGCCCGTCCTTCCATTACGGCTGTTACAGTCACATCATCATCGTCATCACCATCGTCTGGCTTGATGTCTTCTCTTCTCCTTGCTCCAATGCCTGTCTCAGTGACCCGTGCCCTCCACCACCCTGCGCACGTGTCCCACCGATCACAACCTCCTCCTACTCGTCCTGATCACAGCTTCATACGTGCGTACAACGCTGTCCCCCCGAGATCTGTCTATGCGAACCCCGGTGTACTTGAGCCCGTGTATAGAGACGCGTCTCGGCGTGGCGTGTGGGGGAGGCTGTGGTTTATAGACGAATCGGTTTGTTGTCTAATGCATGAGCAGCAGTGTACCTCGACCAGACCCCGTGCGTGCACGATCGAGCCGTCCGGCGTGCGGCGTTTGTTGTTGTTGTTGGTGGTGGCGGTGCGTGGACGGGCGTCTGCTGGCAAAAGGAGAACGCCCAAAGCCCCCGACAATCCACGTGTTGGTGGATGAGCAAATTTCCGGCCAGGGGGAAAGATTTGTCGACACTTCCCTCGGTGTCACCTCCCCCAAGTGACGATTTCAATTATAATAATACATACTTACTTATCCGGGAGTCATTGGACTTTTTATTTCAGGAGGGGTCCTGCTACATTGGGTTTTTGTTTTAAAATGTTATCAGCCGAATGACGATGTGTATTATTATTATTATTCTACACGTGGGAGGAAACCGAAGCTGGCAAAAGGAGAACGCGCACGAGGGGACAGCGCTTTGGCTGGCGACGCGGTGTAGTGGCGCACGAGCAGCCCGCAGGTCACCAGTTCGATTCGTTCTCCCGGCGCGGCAGTTGCAGCAACGGTGCAAGTTTAAGTGGTGACACCACGGTCAGTGGATTTGGGGTACAGTGTGGGTAGTCCCATCGCTTCTAAGACGCCTGGCCAGCGTGGAAGAGTAGGGCAATAATAACCCCCACAACTCCCTCTTGTGGAGATGCTTCTGTCAGCAATTGCAGGGCAGCGCCCTTACCTATTTACCTGTGCCATGAGGATATCACTGATCCACCCGCACGTGAACCTCGTTGGGGGTCGATGAAGGGTGTCGATGGCGACTGATAATTATTTACGAGTTGATGAATAAAAATTATCCGTCTTCTGTGTTCCCAACCAACACGATGAGTTACCCAGCTGTGTGTTACCCAGGTGCGTGTTACCCAGGTGCGTGTTACCCAGGTGTGTGTTACTCAGCTGAGTGTTACCCAGCTGTTTGTTACCCAGCTGAGTGTTACCCAGCTGAGTGTTACCCAGGTGTGTGTTACCCAGCTGTCTGTTACCCAACTGTGTGTTACCCAGGTGTGTGTTACCCAGGTGTGTATTACCCAGCTGTGTGTTACCCAGGTGAGTGTTACCCAGGTGTGTGTTACCCAGGTGAGTGTTACCCAGGTGAGTGTTACCCAGCTGAGTGTTACCCAGCTGTGTGTTACCCAGGTGCGTGTTACCCAGCTGTGTGTTACCCAAGTGAGTGTTACCCAGGTGTGTGTTACCCAGGTGTGTGTTACCCAGGTGCGTGTTACGCAGGTGTGTGTTACCCAGCTGTGTGTTACCCAGGTGTGTGTTACCCAAGTGAGTGTTACCCAGCTGAGTGTTACCTAGCTTAGTGTTACCCAGGTGCGTGTTACCCAGGTGTGTGTTACCCAGGTGTGTGTTACCCAGGTGTGTTACCCAGCTGCGTGTTACCCAGGTGCATGTTAACCAGGTGTGTGTTACCCAGGTGTCTGTTACCCAGGTGTGTGTTACCCAGCTGTGTGTTACCCAGGTGTGTGTTACCCAGGTGAGTGTTACCCAGCTGTGTGTTACCCAGGTGTGTGTTACCCAGGTGTGTGTTACCCAGGTGTGTGTTACCCAGGTGAGTGTTACCCAGCTGAGTGTTACCCAGGTGTGTATTACCCAGGTGAGTGTTACCCAGCTGTGTGTTGCCCAGGTGAGTGTTACCCAGGTGTGTGTTACCCAGGTGTGTGTTACCCAGGTGTGTGTTACCCAGGTGTGTTACCCAGGTGCGTGTTACCCAGGTGTGTGTTACCCAGCTGAGTGTTACCCAGGTGTGTGTTACCCAGGTGCGTGTTACCCAGCTGAGTGTTACCCAGATGAGTGTTACCTAGCTTAGTGTTACCCAGCTGTGTGTTACCCAGGTGTGTGTTACCCAGGTGAGTGTTACCCAGGTGTGTGTTACCCAGGTGTGTGTTACCCAGGTGTGTGTTACCCAGCTGAGTGTTACCCAGATGAGTGTTACCTAGCTTAGTGTTACCCAGCTGTGTGTTACCCAGGTGTGTGTTACCCAGGTGAGTGTTACCCAGCTGTGTGTTACCCAGGTGTGTGTTACCCAGGTGTGTGTTACCCAGCTGAGTGTTACCCAGGTGCGTGTTACCCAGCTGAGTGTTACCCAGGTGTGTGTTACCCAGGTGTGTGTTACCCAAGTGAGTGTTACCCAGATGAGTGTTACCTAGCTTAGTGTTACCCAGGTGTGTGTTACCCATCTGAGTGTTACCCAGGTGTGTGTTACCCAGCTGCGTGTTACCCAGGTGCGTGTTAACCAGGTGTGTGTTACCCAGGTGTGTGTTAACCAGGTGCGTGTTACCCAGGTGCGTGTTACCCAGGTGTGTGTTACCCAGGTGTGTGTTACCCAGCTGAGTGTTA